TGTTTCCAACATTTAGCTATGACAAAGTATACTGCTATAAACCTGGGCGAACATATATCAGTGTGGTATGATATTTTCAGTTCTTCTGGAAAAATACCCAGGAGATAAATAACTGGGCCAAATGGGACCTCTAATTCTAGTTTTTTGAGTAATCCCACACTGATTTTCATGGTGGCTATACCAGTCTACACTCCCACAAAGAGTGGAGAAAGGTTCCTTTCTCCCTCAGCCCTTCCAGCCTTTGTTATTGGCTGACTTCTTTCTTTTTTTTTTTTTTTTTTTTTTTTTTTTGATTATGCTTTGTGTGTGGTTATTTCTTTTGGTGGAACCGGGGATTGAACTCAGGTCCTGGCGCTTGCCAGGGAAGCACTTATTCCACTGAGCCATCTCTCCGGCCCCTAAGGCTGACTTCTTGATGACAGCCATTCTTTCTGGGGTGAGATGGAATCTCAGTGTTGTTTTAATTTGCATTTCCCAGAGAAACAATTTGATTCGACTTATCAAGCATGTGCTGAATGATCATAACACAAAGCTGGAGGTTTAGTGTAATGAGGGATACAATAGTAAATCAGAAGAAATTCCTTGCTCAAGGCTATTCTCACAGCTTAAAAAAAATTATCTTCACATCTGAGAGAAATGTTACATGTCTGTAATCTCAGCACTCTGGGAGCCTGAGGCAGGAGGATCTCAAGTTCCAGCCCAGCCTGGGCAACCTAATGACTTAATGAGAGTCTGTCTCCAAACAAGAACATATTAAAAGATGCTTCCTTTTAAGGAAGAACTGTTATCAGTTTAGTCTGGGATATGTAGAGCTCATCTCATGGCAGTAGTTATTTTTAAAGAAAAGGGGGATGAAACAGTGTACTGATTAGCTATTTTTGCTGGAAATGTGACCTCTCATTGCAAGAGCCAAAAGTTACTATAAACTAGGTCTTTTAAAGATCAGAAAGAAGTGATTTAGTAGGTGGTTAAGTTACGCCCACGACAAATGCAAATCCAGACACACACAAGTGAAAAAAGTAACAGTTTTAATGTTACATATCATGGTTGCTCACAGATTGTGCTAACATTTTCAGTAATTATTATTATTATTATTATTATTATTTTAAAATATACATCGCATGAACTTACTCTTTAACCATTTTGTTTATTGCAGTATAAGAAATCATGTGCTGAGGGGCTGGCTAGATAGCTCAGCAGATTAAAGAGCCTGCTTAGGTAGACACAGGGACCAGGGTTCAATCCCCAACCTGCCATACCAGCCCTGCCCCCA